AAACGGCGACAAATACAACGGTAGAATACGGGCGGGGGAGGCCCATGGCCTGGGGGTGTTGGCCTATGCCTCGGGCGAGAAGTACAAGGGCGACTTCAGGGCGGACGTGCGCTGCGGAAGGGGTGTGTGCTGCTACCCCAACGGGGCAAAGTGAGAGGAAGAGGGGGGCATGTGGGTCTGTGACAGTAGCCTTCGCAGGATGTTGGCGTTCAGGAATTTGTTGGATAAAGCGTACAATAGGGGAAGTTGGGTTAGGGTTAGGCTTAGGGAATAGGGTCTGCGTACCCCCTCTCCCTGTTCTATTTCCTCTTAATACTGAATTTCCGGTCCGTTAGTGACTTTGTTGCTTGGCTTGGTCGCTCAACCGGTGGGCGCGCGTTCTTCATGATCCCGATCGGCTGACAGGGCTGAAGTGTTGGTGCTTACCGTTAAACAAAAATATCAGGAACATCTAACATTCGGTAGGTGTCCCTCAACCTTCAACGTAAAGAACTGAACACATGCGTGAAGGGTCAAGAGCGAGTAGTAGTCGTTATGCGATGTGATATTTTTATTCAACAATGCCACCATCACCATCAACACCATCATTAATCACAACAACAACAACAACAACAACAAGAGTGTATTTATTGACGGACGGCGAATGACGCGGGCAGGTTTGCAGGGCAGTGGGAGCGCAACATGCAGCAGGGGTTCGGGGTGTACGTGTCCCCGGGGGGCCGAGAGCGCTACGTGGGCGAGTGGTGGAATGGCATGAAGCACGGCTACGGCAGGTGACTTCCTTTAAAGGCATCATTGTAAACGTTCTTTCATGCCGCTCTGTGAATCCTAATTGCCCGGGGATAGGGAAGAAGCCGCGCCTCTTTGCAAAACGAAGACCCATGCCGCTCCCCGAAAACGGAGACGCCATATAAAGGGTTGCCAGTACGATTTCGGATTTCTAAACTTACCCCCCCTTTGGGGGCAGTTGGCTTGTGACCACGGAAGGCGTCCGCGTCAGTTGGACCAGTACGGACATTGGAAGGTACTGAGCGGAGACCGGAACGGTTTTTAATGTGTAGGCAACAACAACAACAAACCACTTGTCAACGAACACAGAAATGCAGCCAATGTGGCCACAAAAGGGGGCAAAACACCAAAAGGACAAACCATTTCGGACGCGGACGATGTCGAAGGGAGAGCTTGATTAATCCTTCCAACACAACATACGCACCCCTCCTCCCCGCCGCTACCTCCCGACGACATTTGTAGGGATGCGAGGTCCTTGATCTAACGGCTACCGCGTTCGTTTTCATGGGCATCCCCGCCCCTCCCCCCCCCTCCCCCCGACGACCCCCGCACACACGCCTGGAAACACGAACGCACGAAAGAAGATACATCTTCGCGAACGGAGACGTCTACGACGGAGACTTCCGACGGGACCGGGCGTGCGGGCAGGGAGTCTACCGCACCGCCTCTTCCGGCAACGGTGCGGGGGACTGCTATGTCGGAGGCTGGGAGGCCGACCGCCGGCACGGGAAGGGGCTGCTGCGATGGGAGAACGGCAGCAGATACGAGGTGCGTGCATCGCCACCGTCATGTGTTGTGTTGCGGGGGAGGAGCTTTTCCATAGACCGTGCAATTGCGCTGTTGAGGCAGGCAACATGTTCTCGCATGTTCAAGAAGCGGTGACGGCACTACTTCTGTTTTTGAAACATTTTTCTGGCGTGTCCGAGACACGGTGCTCGGTGGTGGGGAGGGACTGTTGCGTCGAGAGGGCGGCGGGCCAGCAACAGGGAGAGATGGGAGAACGGCGTTTTTTCAACCTTCCAATGCAGTGATGGAGTATTTCCCCAAGAGCGGCGAGCGGGAGGGGGCAAACCGAGAAGGTCCCACGGGTTCCTGTCGTGTGTGTACACGTGATGGCCGACACATGGAAGATGCGAGAAAATTCGGCAAGTTGAGATATCGGTGTCGCACCTGTCTGTAGCACGTAAGGGGTCTTCATGTTTCATTTGGTGACGAAGATCAGCCGCACAACACGGCACCCAGAGGTGCACTACCCCCTCCGCGACCAGCGGAGGGCGGGAAATTTGGGACCGGAAGGCATGCGGGAGAGAGGGTGTAGTTGATCAAATAGCACATTTGGGGATCCAAGATAACCTGTCGCCATGGCAGTTTCTTCTACCACCACTACCAACACCACCGCCATCACGACCACCAAGACCACTGACAACAACTACGTTACCGCAGGGCTACTGGAAAGCGGGAGCCATAGAGGGGAAAGGCGTGTTCGACTACGCGCAGGGGGACAAGTATCGCGGAGAGTTTAAGGCCAGTCGGAAACACGGCAACGGGGTTTACGTCTGGGCAAACGGCGACAGGTACAGCAGCGAGAACGACGACGACAACAACAGCAGCAGCAGCAGCAGCAACTGCAACACAACATCAGCCGTGTTCTCAGACAATGCCATCAACAACAGAAGCAGCAGCAAACATCATTAAGAGCAACGTCGTACCAGCTGCTCAATATTGTTTCTGCTCTCACCGTCCCTCCTTTTAATTACTTCTTCTTCGGGAGGCGGTTTTCGATCACGCTGGCACCGAATGCAGCTGTTGCCGACGTAGGTGCCCACCGGCGAGCGCGCGGTACCATCACCTGGACGAAGCCAAAATATTGTTCGAGGTGGTCACGCTGCGCTCGATTTACTTACACCCGAAACGTCCCACAAGAATATTTTGTCATGGGAGAATTTCGGCTTGATCGTCGCGCCTTTCCTCCGCGACACGCACGCCTGCTACCTCAAAACAGTTTCTTACCCGGATACCAGAGGGAACAAAACGAAAGAAAACAATGGAAAACTCCCGCAAAGAAGAGCTCGTGAATTTTTTTATGAGAAGGCTCTGAGGGGGTTCCTCCCCCACCCAAGGGGCCCACACATTTTTGTGTCCAATAGCCCACCGGTAATTGCGCGTGCACACAGTTCTTGATTCAAGCCCCTGCTGACGACGATCATGACAATGATAAACTGAACCCGCAGCTACAGCGGCGAGTTCTGCTGGGGCGTGATCTCAGGGCTCGGGGAGATCAAGTACGAGGTCGCGGGGCACCGCTACCGGGGGTACTGGAAGGACAACCGGAAGCACGGCTTGGGGACGTTCTGGTGAGCGATGCTGCTTGGGCTCATTGTTGATGCCATCAATATCGCTGATGGTTTGTTGTTGTTGTTGCTTCCCCTGATGTTGCTTCCCTGTTGTCGCTGAGTAAGCGTATTTTTTTTGTTTTCAAGGTTGGACATTTTTCAGTGTGCCCGTCCCTGTCCTCCCTGCAAGTAAATATAACGACCCTAACAAATCAACACGAGACATGTTGTGTGTGTGCATCAAACACGGTACATGCAGGTACGTCGACGAAAACGTGTACCACGGCGAGTTTTTCGAGGACGAGATTCACGGCCGGGGGCGGCTCACGATCTGCCCTGGTTCCATCTTGGAGGAGGTCTACGACGGAGATTTCGTGAGAGGCATCAAGCATGGCCACGGCGTCTACGTATACCGCAAGGGGGATGGGTTGGTAAGAGAGAGAGCTGGG